AGCGAGGGCCGGTGACTGGATGTTTCCCCGCCATTTGCAGTGAAAGATGACTGATCTTTGCGTGAGGCTCTGGGTGCTCCAGGCGAACCTCTGGCTGATGGCTCTGGTCACAGGTAGGCGTCAAACACGGGCTTTGCATTTCAGAGCAAAGAAACGTGCACCCAGGTGCTGCACTGGCGTGTGTCCCTTGCTTAGTGCAACAAGGGACTTCACCCAGGTCTGGCTTTACATGCATTAGTTTTAAACTTTGCAATCTCTGCTCTCAGTACTACTTTGTGCAGGAAGCCAGCCCCGGGTGCAGCGGAGCCAGGGGGCACCCGTGGGGGCTCAAGGCTTGATGCCTGCCTCGGGTTTCGGGTTTTGCTTCCCATTGGGGTGCAGGAAGGGCTTTGGCAGGAGCCCGGTGCCAAGCGGGTGCAGGGCCTGCCTGGCTGTGGTTGCAGGTGGCAGGAAAGAAGGGTTGGGTTGTGAGCTTTTTTTACCATTTATTGCTCTCAGACGCCTGAGGATGGGGCCGGCACATTGCTCAGGCCACGACCAAGCCATGTCCCTTTGCTCCATGGGGTTCAGTGCCCAGGAGTGGAGGAGAAATGAGATGAAAAAGGCTTTTGGGGGTGATTTGTGGACCCTGTGTGAACAGCCCTGTACTGTTCCCCTTTGCATCTCCACGGAGAAGCAGCAGCTAAACCCAGGACACAGCTCCTGTCCCCTTCCAACCCTTCTTGCTCGGTGCAGGGACACCCACAAAAACCTGCAGCAGATCCCACCCTCGGCTGGGGAAACTTGTGCCCTCAGGAGAAATGGCATTTAAAGGGTTTCTGTTGGGTGGCCACCCAAGTCCAGCACGGATTCGAGGTCGCAGGGTTTCATCCTGGCTCTCATGGTGGCTTTGAGGGAGGACAGGGGAAGCTCAGCCCATTGCCCATGGTTGCAATGGAAATCTTGGCTTTGAGGGGTGTGAGGGCTTTCAGGGTGAGCGACCAGCCTGGTCTTCATTTAGAAACACCAACAAAACATGGAGAGCAAAGCCCTGTGTCCCAGCTGGCTGGCAGGACCGCAGGTGACAGGGATGTGTACCCAACGCACAGCCCGGACAAGGCGCATCTGCCCATCTCAGAAAAAACATGAAATGGGGCTGGAGGGGAGAGTTTGCCTGCAGAGTTGTAGGTGCTGGAGGTGAACAGGGCAGTATGGACCCCGAAGAGGTCCGGGGCAGGAAGGGGGGCCCACAGCTGAGCTGCTGTTCGGGGCAGGAAGGTCTGCAGCAGGGTGGCAAGGCTCGGGGCAAAGCTCGGGCTAGGGAATTGAACCTTCCTCCTTCTTCTTCTGTGGGGAGTTTCGCAGCTGCCCCAACGTGCTGGAAGGCAGTGCAGCCCCCACCTCCATGCCAGCTTCCCCGCAGTGGGGTTTGGCGAGTATTCATCAAGCAGGCAGAGCTGGGCACTGAAGCGATGCGGTAAACAGGGCTGGTGCTTCCTGCCCAGCTGCAGCAAGAGGAACCGAGGCACAGGGGCACTGGAGCTGCAGGCAGGAGCACCCATGGGTGCTGGGGGGTCCCCACCTCACCCCGCTTCCTGCACTGCATCGCCGGTCCCGCAGCTCCATCCAGCCCTTGTCCCGGGGGGCTGCGTGGTCCCAGGGTCGGAGAACGCCCCTGGCCACCACGGGGCTCCAAGCCCAGGGAAGCCCCGGCAGTGAGAGTGTTTCTGGTTGATTCAGAAAATAGAGAGTGTAAATAAAGAGGTGTGAGTCTGTTTGGACCCTTTCTGAGAGGTGCCAGCCTAGGGGGATATTAATAGTGAAGGCAGGTTTCACTGGGATGCCAACCAGAAAGCAACTTACTTAGAGAAGATTCAGGAGACGGGATGGAAATGGTAGGGTTTGTACCCAAATCTGCGCTGCCCCATATCCTCTGAGCGGGGCTCTAGATGCTCCCAAGCACTCCATCCCGTATGGAGTGGGCACGAAGGGTCCACGGTACGTGCCATCCCACGTGGGCCATCCTACGTGGGCTTGTCCTACGTGGGCTCTTGGCCACCATCTCAGGGCCCTTCTCCTGTCTTGCAGGTGGGCTCTCAGCAGAAGCCAACAGCACCAGGAACAGCACAGGTAACCTCTCAGACCCATCGGGCTC